GTATCACTTCAGCCTTTCAAAAACTGTTGTACATGTCTGGGCACTTATCTCCATAGAGCACGTGCAAAAATACCCAACTAAATAAATCAATAAACTGAATAACTAGTAAATAAATCAATAATCAATGATCAAAAAACCCAACATCTCTCACAATTTTATTATGTTTTAAAGCTAAAATACTAAACTTGGAAAAGAGTCAAAATAGACCAGATTTTTACGCACTTGTATCTAGATCTTTTCTTATGTTTATCTACCAAGGATGCCTTTCGCGGCCCTTCAGCACTCCGAGCTCCGTTATATTTTCAACAGAACTTAATTGATATAAGGACGATGGGTTAATTTTAATTTGTTTGTCCTTCCTTCCACAGTTGTTCGTGAGCATCGCGCTTCTTGTTTTGAGTCCAGGTTTAAGTGCATACGTGCCAATCCTGCAACATGCGGGCGTAGTTATTTCCGAAAGTTTTGTCCTGCTTCATGTGGTATCTGCTGGTAAGTTGCTTTTTTCTCGCTTGACTCGTTTTTTCTTAAAAGCAGGATAGTGAGGAACGCACTCACCCCTCACCGGTGGGGTCCGAGTACTTATTCTGAGGCAAAAGCGTATAAACTACGTTTGTTGTTTGTTAATTCTCTTCCTTATTATAGGAGATGCTTTTCTCTGCTGTGTCAGTTCGCAGTATTTTCAAATGCCACTTCCACGTCTTTACTAGTTGTTTCGGGGGTAAACAAAATAGCTTTTTAAGCGAGTGGGTATTTAACAAATCGAGAACACTTTTTCAATGTTTTAATCTTTAAACTTGGCGGTGAAACCACTAACCTGTGGCTTGTGATTTCAGTCTTATGATCGAAAAGAGTAGAGACCATGGAAAATTGTCGTTGATTGTTAAATGTTGCGCCATCGTCAAGTCGTTTCCACGGTCTCCATAGTCTCATCGACCAAAGCTCTCAAACAGCTAGCGCGCGAATAATCGCTTCGTCATTGTGAAAAACTGTCTCTCATATCTTCTAAAGACAAAAATTAATACACTAATATACATTTATTGCATGGTTAGGTTCACATGGGCAATCTCGTTTCTTTTGCAGATTTAATTACTGCTGACGCAGTATAAAACATTCGACTGACTACATTCTCTAAAGACTGAAGTCACCCAGTACTACGTGCAATCGACCAGCTGCACATTTACATGTAATGTCCTTATTGCTTTTTATGTCAAGTTCCTCGAACGTTATTTTTCTTGTCTTAGTGTGATTTTACTGTACTCTTTATTGCAATAAAAATATCAGTGCCTTTGTAGAATCAGAAATTGGATTTCGTTTTCAGTTTGTTATTTTAAATTTCTTTATCGTCATGCTTTCATATTTGAATATGTCAACCTTGTAAAGCAAATAAAGAGTTATCGTTAGTCCCTATGTACATGATTTTCAGAGCTTTTAACAAACATAAGAATAAGAAATAGTTTTAAAAAGAAAAAGGTTGAATCGAAAACAACTTTTAAAATGCATTTTAGGGTGCCTAAAACAAGGTTCATAAATGTAAACCGCTGGTCGCCAACCGAAGGCTTTCGGTCCAAAAAGACACCCTGTACAATTGTATGCCCTGTTGACTCAAATCCTTTTCGGCGGCTCATCCACCTTCAGGCCAAATAGGGGAGAGACTCTGGGTTTTGACGACGCTAAACTAGACAACCAGACTGACAATTAAGGTTGCTTCAGAGAAGAATGATGCATGATCCATGTTTCATAGCCAGCGGTGCATTATTGTAGCACGTCAAGTAAATTATGTGCCCGCAACGAGCCTAGAAACCTAGAAAGCAAACGCTGCTGACGCTTCTATGCCGTGTAAGTAGAACGTTAAGACAATGCATTTCAAAACACTGAATCCTAGGCATTTTAATTTAAGCCAGTGATTTGAGGTTAGGTTTTTCTTTGTGCTAATATGCAAATGCTGAAAATTTCAACGAGTTTGCTGGGCTCGTGCATGCACGTGGGAATTTTGGATGGAGTTAAAAAAAATCAAATTCAAGCGTTTGTTGAACAACAATAAATAACTTAACATTACGTGTTTATCTATTTTTGAAGCAATTTTTTTAAAACTGAATAAAAAAAGAAGAGCGTTTATTGCTTTATTGGATTAACCAACATTCTGGCCCATGCAAAAACGCAGCTTAATCAGGCGGTAAAACCCATATATTCATTAAATGTTGTTAAAAGAAGAGGCTTCTATTAATAATTTTTTACTATGAGATTTTAAAAATGAAATTTTTCAGCTCACTCATGCTTAAAAATTTTAGCAGCCATTTGACATGAAAGCTCTCTTGAACGCCTTTTCACAAATGGTCTCCATTATTTCAATGAATGTGAACAAGACTAAACTTCTCGCTACAAAAGGGTTTACCATAGTGCACTGCAGGCTGTGAAACATGGTTCACGGGAGCGACCTTAATTGAAATAGGTGTATAACGTGCACTCTGGTTGCTTGTCGCGTCGGGACCTTAAACAACTACGACGACGACGGTAGTGAAAACATCACTGAAAAAATGAATTTGCCTCCTTTCAAACTTTATCGCGTCTATTTGGAACTACTCAATTCATCAAATTTAGGCTACTTTTCCTGGAGTTAATTCTTAAGGGCTTTAACCATGTTCAAATAGAGAAAGGAAAATTTGTCGTCGTATGTCCACGTCCTCTACAAAACGTCGCATTGGAAGGTTTCACGTCGTAGTCGTGAAGTGGACGTAAAAGAAATGTACTAAAAAGCGTGATGCACGTGCAGAGCTGTTGTTTTGGTCATAAAACCAATTGGTTTTTGACGTTGTTGTTGTCGTCGTCGTCGTCGTAGTAGTTGTTTAAGGTCCCTGATATTATCTGCCCAACGCAGCATTCAGTCCTTCTCAATATTTAAAAAGTGTTTTTTTTTACCGTATATGGCTTACAGGGCTCCCTTTCTAATCACACAAATAATGAGTGATTCATGGTGATAATAAAGAGAATGAAGGCATATCCCTTGAAACAATACGTAAATTTCCATTGTTTATCGTTCACTTTAGGGGTGTTTGACATTCCTGTCCAAAGAGTTGCGAGCCTTCTGGTCAGCGGCACGGATCGAAAGCAGCAGTTTTCCATTTTGAACCCACTGGTAAAAGTCATTATTTCAAAATTCTCATAGCCAGAACCTTCGATCAATGGGGCTTGCAAAAAGAATCGCAGCTCTGGGGTGTTAAAACAGACGCCCACAACGGAGAAAATGGCCTTAAGCAACGTGCAAAAAACCGGTTGCCTACCGTCTACAAGGTCAGGCGTCCCCCTAAGATTCTCTAAATTCAGATGCCATTAATTCAGCTTTTAAAAAATAGACATATTTTTGAAAAAGCTCAGAATCCGTTAGTAGCTGTATATTTTCTGCATGCTTAATGAGTAGTGAATTCACCCGCGAAAGCTAAGAGTAACGAAATTTCTACGAGCTCAGTTTTGTTACTCTAAAGTTGACTTCTTCAATTCATAGCAACTTTATTCCTTCAGAAATATTTCCATCTAAAAAAAAATAATGCGAAGTTGTAGTCAAAAATACACTATTTCTTATGCATGGGGAAATGCAGATTAGAATCATCCTTCATCCTTTTTTTAATAACCAATTCATTAAAAAAAGTCTATGGGGGTACGATTGGCCAGGATTGACTGACTTCAAAAGAAAAAGACATATTCAGTTTTACGGCAACAAGCAGTTTCAATTAAATGTTCGCGTTTGTTTTCCTTCTGCATTTGAAAAATATAAGCAGCAATTGACCGACAAACAAATTCAACAACCCTACTGAAAAAAGAAAATAGTATTCTCTGAAACCTGTGTTGTAGAAGTGCCTATTTCGCCGTAGATTTTTCTCGCATGACTTTTTGTAATTAAAAACGAGATGAATTCGATTTAATTGATTTAAATGGCAATAAAACCAAACACATCAGAAGATTCTCTGAGGTTTTGATTGACCTTTGCCCCTTTCAATACGTTTTGAATGTTCTCCAAAATCTTCTCCGAAATCTGTTTGTATAATTTTTACATGAAAAGTGTACTTTATGGCATTAAAAAAATAACAAAATATTCTCAAGAATGACAAGGGGCGCCAAAAAGGGCAAAGATTTGTTTAAAAATTTATTAACCATTTAAGCAACCGCAAATGGTTTTTTTTATCATTTAACACCTGACATTCTAGCGAAAATTAGTACAAAGTTTTCTAATATAAAAATCCCAATCGGTCTGTAAAATGTCGATGAAACAGTTTCCCTCTCTTTTCTACCGGAACAGTCAACATTAATCAGTTAAGTAAGTTGAAAGCATACTACTTGTATTTAGTTGAAGCTATGACGCATTACATACAAAAATTCACGATGAAAATGTTTGCGAACCACTGTGCCGATAACGACGTCATGCCGTGTTGCCAACCAGGGGACCTGCAGACTTCCCCTAAACTCATTTCACCGACTGTTCAAACTCATCAATTTTTATTGTCGTAGAGCAATATTTCCAATGAAATCAAAACAATAACCAAAACCTACGATTAACAGAAACCTCAGAAAATGATTCATCCGATCAGATTTAAACCTATCAGGTTGTTCATTTCTAGGCATTCCTTGCATCTTGGCATTGTAGGCAGAAGTCAAAAGGTATAGAGGATTTTAAGCGTGCACCCCAAAAAGTTGATAATCATGAAGGTAGTTATTGTATTCTTTGCAGTGTTAGTAGTATGTACTGCATTCGATTTCAATTTTGAAGATTTTGATGACAAAGACGAATTTGAAGACTTGAATAGATGTGAGTAGAAAATTTGTATTTCTCGATTAGTTTTTGTTTTTGCACAGAGAAGAATATAACAAGGAGGAGGAGATTTAAGAGTTTATGGAAACAACAACATTGGACGTAAATTTGCTAGAGAATTCAGAAAGTCAAACATTAACTGGCATTAGAAAAACGGTCGATGGATACTATCGAGAGAGAAAAGTGTTCCTCACTGCAGTCAAATAATTATACCTGGGAAGCACTTCTTCACTTGCAATCCTCTACTTCGAAACCTACCTAAATAATAAGTGTCAAACCAAAAAATTGCACGCATGTTGCAAGAAAGACACACATTCAAACTGAAAAAGAAGAAAATGTAGACGTAAAGTAAGAAAATGTAGCTACCCTTGTAACTAATTTGAAACAAAATTAAGCGGATAAATCTGACCTAGTTACATAAGACAATATGCAAAATGAAGATCAGTACTTTGCGCCTATGAGAAAAAAAGAAAAAAAAAGGTTTTTCCATTCCTTTTCTAAATGAAAAAAACCTGGTTACCTTGAGTGTCGATGTATTAACAAGAAAGAACTAATGTTTTCCGAAATGGTACAGCCGCAGTTCTACTTGGTCCGGCACCTGAAACACGAGAAGCTGGGGCCGTTTTGAGAGCAAAGGCGGTACCTTATTCAGTGAAGACCCTCAGTCGTGAAGTATTGGTCCGCTCAAGGAATCAAACCCGGAACATTCCGCTCTTAACAGACCACCGCTGTACCAACCAAGCTAATAAACCTCTTAAGCTTTTTTTTCTTCTCAGTGCAAATATTGTGATGATGCTCTAGAAAACCTTTTTTTTTTTTCTTAAATTCGTCTTATTCACCTGAATATGTGTGCCTAATTTATATGAAAAAAAAAAACAAACAAACAAAAAAAAAACATGAGGAGGAATTTCTTGAGACTAATACATTAAAGAAACCAAAACATACAAGCCTAAGAGATCCATGCACTATTCTGCTGCTCTTGAACATAAACTACAGCCTGTATGGGTTGTTATTAGTGTGACTACAAATTGTAGAGAGGGTGTTTGCCAGGGCTAGTAATCCTTCATTTAAAATATTTCCAAGGTTTTTAACATCCTTACATTCTCGTAGATTGTCTTCGAAACATTGGCTTGCTCCTCGGCAGCTGCAGAGTTTGAACAGATATGTTTTTCTTGCAGATACTCATAAAACAGCGGTTAAAATCTGTGGATACTTTCCACTTATTTCCTGCACGAACAAATATACAAACGTAATTATATAGACGTACTTTTTGGTAGATGTTTTCAGGGTCCAAAATTTGTCAGTTCACTAAAGCGTAATTAATATAAAAGTGCTGCTACTATTTCTCTTTTTAATTCTAGATTAAAAGCATTTCTCCTTAGCTGATTCTCCACATTTAGCGTCTTTTTTTGCTTGCTTTTTTTCTTTACATTTATTTGAAAATGATTTCGCCGCTAATTTGTTGTATTTATACTGTGAAGTTTGGGGAGGGGGGGAGCTCATAGTAATAACCCCTACGGTCCGTCAATTTGAGCTTCCTTGCCAGAAAAATATTTTTAATTCTTTTACTTACCCCATTAATGGAAATTAGATCGTCATGAAATTAATGCGAATTTTAAAAATTCCCAATTCTCGATACCTTTCTGGAATTCTTGACACCTAAGAAAGAGGAATATTTTATCGAGGGGAAGATCCACCAGTAATAGTGAAGTTGTGAAGAACCTTCAAAGTGGCCAGATTTGTTCGCCAGGGAACTGGTACCACCAAAAAAGTTGTTATTTACTTCGGCTTATACCTTAAACTTTGTTCCTTTGTCTCAACAAGTTTTGTTTCTTTGGTTTCTTTGTGAAAGTCGCGTACATTTCCTTCATTTTGAAATTTTCCCCTCTCTGTCGCGACCTCTGTCCTTTGTTCGAAAGTCTTATTCTACTTTTAATTCGCGTTAATTCAAGTTGTGTAAATTTCGAGTACATTTCATGGGGGTTTGAGTGACTGACGTCAACGATGGTATAATCTAAGCATCTTTCAAATCTGTTTAGCGCCAGCTGTTTATGAGGACTTGACCGAGAGATAAGGTCCATCAGAAATGAATACGTATTTTTAATTAATAATAATCCCTTTACTCTTTTGAAAAAATGTGTCTGATTTGCTTTAATCCCTTGGCTGATTTTTTATAACCAACTGACGCTCACAAAATTTGAACCATATCTGTAGTTATTCCATCACTGACGTGAGGCCACTAACGTCAGTGATGGTATAACTGCAAAGTATCTACGATTAACCTCACGTAATAGACCATTTTACAGTTGTGAGCTTAATACCCTGGCTAGTTTTTGAGTGGACGAGAGGCTGAGGCTGACCTTGGTTTGATACAATCCTCTTTTAATTATTTTTCGTATGGAAATTACGCTTAAAAATTCGTAGTTCGCACAACAAAAACATTATTTACATAATAAAGCAGGAAGGGTTGTGTCAAAACAAGGTCAGCTCAACCCTCGTTTTCACCTGTAACTTTAAAATGGGCTATTCTGCAACTGCTGAACAACAACCGAGGTAAATACTTTGAAGTGATTCTGCATGGAAGTGAAAATGTAATTTTTTTGTAATGTGTAGAATTGGCAGATCTCAGAGATTATTCACCTCGGCCTCAACCTCATCGACTTGTATAATTCCGTTCATAACATATTCAACCTCGTAATTAATATTATTAACCATTAACTTCCTTGTTCCACAGTAATTCGAGAAACCCGTTCCTGTCGAGGCAAACCTCTCCACAGAATCTGTCTCAAATTTACTAAATTTAGTAAATTGCCCCGGAGAAAAAGACTTTGCAATCTCTGCGAAAAATTTTGCGGGATGAAATGCTGGTAAGTAATAAATTAACAACGAAGTTCAAAGTCCAAGCTTTTTTAGTCCATGAATGGCACAATCTTCTTAATCATCGGATTTTTTATACTTAAGCGGTTAACCCTGACTCAGTAATCTGACGGTTAATACTGTTTGTTTGGGTTTTATTATTGGTTGGCACAAATTTACCATAGGACCTAATAATCTCATTCAGTGATCACCATTTCTAGTATTGCACCTTTTCAATAAGGTAAAAACAAGAAAGATATTTTGTTTATTGCACTTAACCCTAACAGGTTAAATTTGCTTAAGTTAACAATCCATTAAGAATTAAAGGGAATTCAGAAAAGTTGCCTTTAATGTTGAGAGGTCGCAAGAGTTGATGCTATTTGCGTGAGTTATTGTTAATCAATTACATCAGGCAATTTCTCCGTTCTCCGTTAAGGATTCAGGAAAAACAATGCTAAGCTCCCTCTTTTGAAGTCTCTCAATGTCACCTTACAGAAAACGGTGGTAATGAGTTGTGAAAAAATTCTCAAATGTATTTAAAAACAGGAGGAAATGTTTGGATGGAACATTGGCTTGTGTCAGCTTTCTGAGAGAAAGAGCTTTCTTTCTACATGCGCAATGCAACCTTTCCAGCGGCTTTTACGTGTTCTTTCCATTTTAGATCAGCCGAGATGTTAAGTCTAAGGACTTAACAAGATGAAATAGTCTCGATATGCTTCCCATTTTATGATTTATGACAATGAGATCTTACTTATTACTTGATTTTGAGAAACAGACACCCATTTCCTTGCACTTGTTCTTATTAACCTGAAATTTTTTCTGCCTCCTTTCCTTTTCGTTTATTATAATTATAAACAACCACGGGCCTAACTTAGTCCCCTGGCGTACACCGGCCGGAAGGTCTCCTCATTTTTTATTTTCACCCTTCGTTTACAATTGGTTAGAAAATAAAAAATCCGACGAATAATGGATTTAGGGAACCTGTAGTTGAAAGTTTCTCATCCACAATGTGGTGGTCTAAGGTGTTGCTACGAGGTCAACTCTAACAAAACCTCCACTTCCATCGGTGCGCTCTGACTAAGAAGCATGACTTAGGTATCGTTCTAAATCGTCCATCATCAACCCTCTTCAATACAGCGGATTTAACACATATTTTAACCACAAAATCCTCCGAGGCTTTAGATACTACTGCTGTGAAATTGGCGCAAATGCTCATTTAAAACATTAACTGGAAATGTTTTCGGTATGGGCAAAATGCCCGCCCTTTTCCAGGCCTGAGGAAGGCGACCTTCGCGGTAAGAGAGGTTAAGATTTCGGCAATTGGCCTACCTAGTGAATCGGGGTCACGTGTGCTTTGTGGAAGTTTCTTGTACACTGACTCAATTGCGACGCTAGGTGGGAACTTTGTGGCGAAACTTAAAGTACGATCGTCCATTACATCAGCTGAAAGGGGCTCAAAAAAACTTATGGGGGAGAGGAAGACCTTCTTTCGGAGAATCAGTTGCTGCCTCGATGTTTTTTAATGACTTGAAAATGCCTCGGTTTCCATGAAAGTACCACTTGTGTTATTTCGGTATTAAGCTCCCCAGTGTCTCTTCATACAAATGCTATCGGTGAGGTCAATCAATGCAAAGGGTACATGAAGAGTCAAAATGATAAACTTCAGACCAGAAGACTCTCGCGTACGAGCTGGTATATTATTTTGTATAATGCCCAGACGTCTCACCTGATTCTTTCTCACGTACTGTAATCGTATATCACGTGACCTTATTGTCTCCTACTCAAGGTGTCTGAGATGTTGGTGATGTTATTGTGTACTCATTAAGGATTTTTTTTAACCTTTTGCAGATAGATGTCGAGAGGAACCTTATAATGACGATCAAGTTATCTTAATGCACTGAATATCAACTGTGCTTTTAACTTATTTGCCAGTTCTAGTAAACTATTATTGCGTACTCAAGTTTGCTTGCCTTTTAAAAGACATTTTTGTAAGAGTAACATGTAAACAAACAGTAATGATCAGAAACGTCTCTCCTACACCCGATGCGCATGTCCATATTAAAACGAATGTAAGGCCCGGGTAGTTTAAAGCAGGGACAAGATAACCCAGGGATAAGGCGAAATTTGAACTCAGAACTGAATGTATTCAAAGCAAATTCCTGTAAATTTTATTAGCGTACAGTCTGATGTCTGGATGCCGTACAGAACTTGACAAAATAATTGAAAGTGAAATAAGTACAGAAAATGGTTTTGAACAAAGAAAAGGGAACCTTAATTGAACTTTACCCCGGGTTACCTTCTTATTGCCAGATCTTTCCTTTTTCTGTTATCATAACTGAATTTCGGAATAAACGATTAAAAAGACTAACAATTCCAAGTACATATCTGTAGACAAGAAAACAAGGCTTAAAATTTGGCATACCCCCAGATTAAACTTGACCATCTATCAAGGAAACGACAAGGCTACTATCTTCATGCGTTTTACTCCCATATGAAAGCGACAGGGATGCTCTTCTTGTGAGTTAGAAATTACAGATTTTGGTCTCACTATAAAAAAGGTTTCCAGGGCGGAAAGTCAATTTTTTGTATCCAGAAAGGTATCACTTATGGTTGAGGAACCAGCGCTGTCGGCATTCCGGCTTTTGACCCGTTGCATGTGGCAAAATATGGTCTTACATGAAAAAAAATTCCGGCAACGCTTGTCCCCTTTACATTAACCCGCCTAACGCAAAGCGGATACTGATGGTGGTTTTCCACTGTCAGCCAGGACTGTGGCGTAGGGTGTGTACGTGCATACGGGCGTGTGCGACACTTCATATATTGCTTCTGTTTTATTTACGTGCGTACGCACGAAAAAATTGTTTCTTGGATGGTTACTGGGGTGGGCGCCTGTCAGCTACTGAGCAATTTTTTCCGCTTCCTAGAAGTCTTTGCTACAGTTAACTCGACCCAGTTTCCTTCTCGTACCTAAAGTGGCGAATAGATGACATACGCCATCCATATAAAAGTCAATTAATTAACAATAAATGAATGAGGCTGAGTATCTTATAGAGAGTTATGGAGATCGAGGAGAGTGTTACGGCCTCGACGGATAACACCCTCCGAGATCTCCATAATTCTTCTTATGATACGAGAGTCGAATTCAATAATTGTTTTATTATTCATTCAAAATAATTCCTAGTTTAAAAACACAGCTAAAACATGCTTACCTCCATCGATGTTAGGGTTGTTCAGCGCCGCAAATATTCTCTAAATAGCAGATGTCGCCCTTCGAGTTGTGTTCTTGCTGTTCTTGCCATGTTTTTAGCTATAATTTCGCCTAGTTCTTACTCTTGAAACGAGTGAAATATCCGCCATTTTTTGTTTTCACAACCAAAGCAACTCAACCTCGTCCCCAGGTGTAATGTACCAGGAATTTGTAGTTTGTAATATAGCAGGAAATTGTATAACGAACGCTGAGAACTCAACAATATTTTACTTCAAGTCTGTAAGCACATGGCAAGAAGAACCTACTGCGCATGTACGAAGCGCATAAGGATTCATGGGATATGAGGGTGTTTCTTGGTGTTGCGGAAACTATTGTTTGTTAGCTTTTGTGTTGTGGTGTGGGTATTGTTCAGTGTCTTTTCAATCTTTTGTATTACGTCATTGGTGTCCGCAACACCAAGAAACCACCGGATATGACAAATGCCCCCTCTTAAAGCAAAGGAAAGAAAAACTGAACCTGTTAATAATACAAAGTAATGTACTGATAGGAACAAGTTCCAAAGTCACGAACACTTAAGTTTGCTAAAGACTAGTAGAACCTCTGAGGCGGTTTACGCTCTCTGAGAGGGTATCTCCGTTCTGGTTGCTCAGGCGCTGATGCTTGAAGTTCTGAATCTCGCACAGATGAGTCCTGTGGTGAAGAAAAAGCATCAGCCGTGCTATCCAAGGCTGGAGTGTCAAGTACAGGCGTAGCCTCTTTAGGCTGTGAAAGGGTTGGTGTTGTAACAGGCCCTTCCCTCACTACTGGGGTCAACCCTTCAGTTTGCTCAGGTAGCTGGGGCGCACGAACTAACTCTGACCCTAGTGGAGAAGGTATGAATCGTGGACGTAATTGTTCTTGATGTCGTTTCCAGATAATGTCTCCGACCTGAACCTCAAAATTCCGGGGACTGACTGTTCCAACAATGGCTCCTGGAATCCATTTGGCTCCTTTGCCAAAATTACGCACAAAAACTGCTTGGTTTGGTGTAAACTGGTGTTTGTTATCAAGGTTGTCTATAAAAACCTTGACTTCCTGTTTAGAACTCTTGGCTCTCAGTGCACTGAATCTAATTCTAGGCTGCCTGTTCATAAGTAATTCTGAGGGTGATTTCCCACATAGTGTCCTGCTAACCCATTTGTAGCAGGATGTCCTGGAGCAGTGAGAGTATGAAGGATGTCGTTTTCTCTTAGAAATTTCTGGAATTCATCCCATTGTCCGTTACCACATGTTCTGGTAAACCAAAGTAACTAAGAATGTGTCTCAAAGCAGTAATAGTGTTGGTGCTGGTGGCATGAGTCATGGGTACTATCTCCAAAAATTTGGAATAAGCATCCACCACGACCAAAAACATCTTTCCAAGATAAGGCCCAGCAAAATCTACATGTAATCGTTTCCATGGTCCGCCTGGCCAGGACCATGAAGCAGTTGGGGCGGATGCTGGCGATTTAGCAGATTCTTGACAAGCAGGACATAATTTAACTGTCTCCTCAATTTGCTTATCAAGTCCAGGCCACCAAAAGTATTTTCGAGCTAATTGTTTCATTTTGACCATACCCAGGTGTTCTGCATGCAAATCGGCCAATAAGAGAGCCTGTAACGACTCTGGTACAACAACTCGCGAGTTCCACAGGAGGATACCATCTTCATGAGAGAGTTCAAGTCTTTTGCTGTAGTAAGGTTGGAACACTGGTTCCAGATTATTGGGCCAACCCTGCTCAGTAAACTGTAACACCTTTCCAAGAACTGGGTCTCTCATGGTTTCCATAGCAACCATGGACGCATTTAAAAACTGGTCTTCTTCGATAAACATCACATTTACAGTTACCTGTTCTGCAGCAGACTGCTTGTATTCATTAGGCTTCCTAGACAAAAAATCTGCAAACACATTGTCTTTGCCGCCTATGAATTCAATTGTATAGTCATAAGCAGCTAAAAGTAGTGCCCATCTTTTGATCCTTGCTGCTGCCAACAGGGGTACGGGCTTGTGTTCCCCAAGTAAAGTAATCAAAGGTTTATGATCTGTTAGGAGTTTGAAGTGTCTACCTAACAGGTACTGGCGATATTTGGTCACGCCAAAAACAATTGCTAATGACTCACGTTCAATTTGGGAGTAATTTTGTTCTACATTGTTCAGTATCCTCGATGCATAGGCAACAGGTTGTAATGCACCATCAGGTCCAGGTTGCAGTAATGCAGCTCCCACACCCACTGAAGAAGCATCACACTGTAGAACTCATTCAGCCATAGGATCATAGTGACGTAAAACCGAATCGGAGCACAGGGCAGCCTTGATGTTATCAAAAGAGTCCAGTTCCAGTTTTGACCATCTCCATGGTACCGCCTTGCGAAGTAATCCGTACAAAGGTGAAGCCAACTTTGCAAAATCCGGCACAAATTTACGTAGAAAATTGGCTGATCCAAGGAATGACTGTAATTCAGAAACATTTGTTGGAGGTGCTGCATCCTTGATTGCCTGCACTTTCTCTGCAGTCGGTGAAATTCCCGCAGCAGAAATGGTAGTACCAAGATACTCTACTTTATCCAGCATGAAAAAGAATTTATCAGGGTTAAGCTTAAGACCGCAGTCCTGTAATCGAGTTAGTACTCGATGAAGGTTTTCCAGATGGACTTTATCTGTTTCTCCGGAAACAAGGATGTCATCAATACGGACACAGCAGCCTGGAAGGTCCTTAAGGACATTTTCTATAGTGCGTTGGAAAATTGACACAGCACTACTCACTCCAAAAGTCAGGCGCTTGTATTGGTATAAGCCCAAATGAGTGTTAATTGTGGTGTATTTTCTGCTTTCTGGCGTAAGCTCTAGTTGATGGTATGCTTGAGAAAGGTCAATCTTAGTGAAATTTTTTCCCCCAGATAATGTACTCAGTAGTTCCTCCAGAGTTGGTATGGGGTATTGTTCTAAGACTGAAAATTTGTTGATGGTGACAGAGTAGTCCCCACAAATT